TTTTTTTAAAAAAAACCCAGAAGGTGCTTTTTACAATCCTCAGGCCACAAGTTGCCATCTTGGTATAAGTTGCTCCATAATTTTAATTTCAATATATTCTATAGAAGATAGAATAATTCAACATGGAACTGCTAGAAGGAAGGATAACTGGGGTGTGTGTGACAAGACAAGACAGACGGTATTGACACAGAGGTAAGACAGGGCAGTTAGCCCTTTGTATTGCATTTCCAAAGTGGATGAACTGCCGTTAGCTGAGTCATTTACAATGGTTAAACTTTGACCTGAATATGTAATAATTCTGCCCTGATACTACACTTCTCTCCTGAGGATAAGACTCTTTTTCAGACCTTTCCTTTTCTTTCCTTGAAAAAATGATAAGCCAATATATTGGGCAGACTGGCACATGGACAAGTTTACTCCCTAGGCTGGGCAGTAGTCCAAATCAACTCCAGTTTCCAGTTTAGTACATTTATTAAAGCATTTGGTCAGATATAGTTGTACTTGAAAATAAAAGCAAATCTACATGTTCCTAAGTAAAATATACCAGAATAGGTTGCCTAAATTTATCTAGAATCTAACAACTTGAAGATATTTAGAGGCTCATTCCTTAAGATTCTACAACTGAACATAGCTGTGACATTCTACCAGCTCCTTGAAGACCAAATAGATTCAATTTGCTGGGGTTTTGTGGGAATTGGGAAGAGTTTCTAAGAAGGGAAATTTTAAATGTTATTTATTTAGGTGTAAAGCTCTGGATGGATTACACTTTAAAAGAACAAAAGCATTAAAAATAAACAGAGATCATGTATGTCTGACCAAACATACTATATGAGTAGTAAAAACACAACAAACAGGTTTGCAACCACCCTGCTCCAAGGTGTAGGAGAGCAGTTTGGTTTTTAAACATTTCTGGAATCTCATCAGTGTGGGAACCACACAGATTTCTGGCTTGATCCTGTCTGGACAAAGAAGGATCACATCCTGAGTTGCAGTAAATGGCATTGTTTAATTGACACAGCCCAGAGTGCATCAGGTTGGTCTGATCTTACTAACCAGTTAGTATCGAATGAACAATCAGGGTCTAGTAACTGATCAGATTAAAGTTGAGTAATAATAGGAAAAGCAGTCTAGGATGTAGATTCTGGTAGGATTTTGATCTGGGCATCTTTGTATATATCCTATAATAGACAACCTACAATCCATTGGGTCATTCTTTGTCAATATTTACTTACCTGAAGAGGTAAACAGAATGACTACTGTCAGCTAAAGAAGCAGTGGCAGCAGGAGTGACGTCTGATTTTTGCCAGCTTCTTCAGTAACTTTGCTTCTGGAAAACTGGCTGGGATATTGGAAATCAGGATCACATGACTGCGGTTGACCCCTGCAGCAGCCACAAGTTTGCAAATACAACTGGTCTAAAGATTCTTGAAATTACAATTCCAGGGGAATAATGGGTCCCAGATTTTGTTTGCTTAACTTGATACATTGAGGTACAGTTCCTTGATTCAAACATTGTTCCTCTAAGACAGGGATCCCCCAACCCCTGGGCCATGTTCCGGTACCAGGCCGCAGCCTGTTGGGAACTGGGCCATGCAAGGAGTGGGTGAGCAGGAGAAACTCCATTTGCACAAATGGAGCTTCATGAGCAAGTGTGTTTGCGTGCTGCTGGTGGTGCTGAACCATCCCCCTCCCCCCACCCCCGTTTTGGCTAACTAAAGATTAGACACAGATAGTAGTAGTAGTGTAGTAGTGTTCAGATGTGAAGGAGTGGACTAGGAAAGGGGTAATTTGGATGCACCAATTGAGCTTTTAATGTTGCCTGTAGAGTACAGGCTTGAGAGCAAATCAAGCTCCTCTTAGGCTCTCTTCTTTCTTCCTGGCATCAGAGTAGATTAAAAACTTCCTTGGCTTCTGAAAGCTTAAGGGAACAAATGCTTACTTTGCATCAGACATGAGGATGTTCAAATGCTAGGAAAACAATTCTCTGTATTCTCATTTAAAATGGGAAGCTTTTCCTTATAACTAATGCATGTGATGTTCTGGTCACCAAACTAGTAATAGCAAATGTGTTCCTTGGTTCATTTTTGGAGAGGAAAAGTGAACTTATAATAAAAGAAAATAACAATATTTGTCTAGGGGTTAATATATCTGGCAAATTTATGTGCTGCCTAATCCCGGTGGCTTAGATAGTTTAAAAGCAAAGCTCTGTTTAACACATAAAAACATTTGAAAATAGCATATGAATTCTGTGAGCATTTAGAAAAAAAAAAACCTGGAGCAAAAAGATCTCTTTTAAACTGGCTGTAAAAAGAGGGCCATCTTCAACTTTAAGTGGCAAGTTGTTCCAGGATATAGAACATGTTTTAGAAAAGGGAGAATCTTTGATGGAGGTTGAGGGGCTGCAAAGTGCTCAATTAAAGACCTGGGAGCATACAATAAGCTATATGGAATTAGATAGCCTTGCAGCGGATAAGTGAATGAATGAAGCAGGTTGAAGAGTCACAGAATATTCTGCTAGGGTAACTTCCTCCCACGTGTACCCAATTCCAGCAAAAGGCTCATTAATTGCTCCACGTTGAACTAATAGTTGGAGGTAACTGCCAAGTTGAACCTCGGCAGCTGGCTCATAGTAGCTTGTTCCAAAAAACTTTCTCATTTTCAGGTTTTGGCTTTTGTGTTTAAGCCACAGGGTTGGCTTACAACTGCAACATAATCTGTAGTTCATTAATAGCAATGAAACTCCCTTATGGATTAAAGTCAAGCCAAGCTGTCAAACAGCATTGTCTCACTGAATGTTGCGATGGTGGAAATATTAGTATAAATATTTACAACTTTTCTGCATATGAAAGATTGGCACTGCCTTCTGTTTATAGAAAACCCAACTTGGATCAAGGCACCAAGGGGCGCCTTTCTTTCTGAAGGCTGAGTTTAATATAGGCTTTGTGTTTGTTTTTGTGAATTGAAGATGCTTTCAAACAAAGGCATCTCCACCCTTAACTTTTCCATGTGGACCAACTTGTAAAAGGCCAGAGTACATGGGAAGTTTCTTCTCTAACATGTTTTGGCAGTCCACTTCCCGTGAATTCTTCTGGGTCAACAAGATAACAAATATCAGATTTGCTGCAAGATTCAGCTTTCAAAAATGCAACCTCCCAAATACTGCCTCTAAACAAATTGTGGGGAAGTAATTTTCTTGATTGTTTCAGTTCTGTGTAACCTTAAAATAGGGATGTACAGCTAATTAGTTGCATGAAATTCGAAAATCTTTTTTATGGTCCATGATGATTCTCCAAATTGCTACACTAAAATTCAGTGGTCCGCTAACAATAACTCTGGTGAAATTTTCTGCAGTTACTCAAGAAGATGACATAAAATTGTTGATGACCCATTACTATCATCAGTCTAGAACAGGGCTTTTCAACCAGTAGTACGGGTACCACCTGTGGTACATTGGCACCTGGCAGGTGGTACGCGACCATCTTAGAAAAGTGGTAGTGGGGGAGGGGAATGAGCTGAACCGGTGGCAGCACCGCACAAGCCTGAGCGAGAGATAGCTGGAGCTGCAGGGCTGTCAGGGCTCAGTGGAAGCGCCAGGATCAGCGCCAGGCTCCAGCTGGAGCTCGGCGCTAATCCTGGAGCTTCTGCTGAGCCCAGAAGAAGCGCCAATCAGCTGGAATGTTGCAGCATCTCCAGGGTCTTGTGATTTACATTCAGATGCTTGGCAACTGAGTCATATTTATGACGGTCACAGTGTCCCAGGGTCATGTGAAGTGACCAAAACCTGCTGCAACCACCCAGCAGATGGGGGGAATAAACACCAAACACCCCCCCCACACCACCCCCGCTGCCAATCCTCAACAGAAATGCTCACAACAATGAAAACCTCGGACAGGAGGAAGAGCGCCGCTGGGTGGGCAGGCAGGTGTCTTGCTTGGCTGTGGCTTGGGGGGGCACTTTTTTCAGTGCTACTGTAACTTCAAACAGTCACTAAGCGAACTGTTGTAAGTTGAGGACTACCTGCACTTTATCACTTTTTTCCTTTTTTTTTTTGGTCATCAAGTTTTTGACACCTTGCTAGGCAACTGGTGGTACTCGGATGTTGCCCTATCCTAAAAGTGGTACAATGGGTGAAAAGGTTGAAAAGCCCTGTTCTAGAAAACTTAAACAAGAAATGGATTTAAAGAAAGAGAAAAATCAGTGCTTAGGTTGCATACTTAGTCATCTAGGACCGTCAATTCCTATCATTTCTTGAGATTTATCTCTCTCCCCCTAATAAAAACCCCTACAGATTAAAATAAGTACCTTTATAATAAGATATCCTGTTAAGTCCATAAAGGGGAAGAATATAAAGCCAAGCTTTATTGATTAATCCAAGATTCATTATAATAAACTTCCGCCCATTGTGATTAGCATAACCAGAAATAAATATGAAAGGGATAGTTGTCATTCTCATGATGATCCTGTCCCATGCAAGGACATGTATGAGCCAAATGTATCCAGAAATATTATTTAAGGTTGGGGTGAAGCCAACAGGAAACCTAAGTACCATTTAAGGCAGTGGTTCTCAACCTGTGGGTCGGGACCCCATTTGGGGTCGATCGACCATTTCACAGGGGTCGCCAAGCAAGGCTGTCCGCCATTTTTTTTGTCCATTTTTTTGTCCGCCATTTTTTCCCCTTTTCCGGCGGGTGCCTTACCTCCCTTGGGCTGGGCCAGCTGGTGGTCGGCCTGCTCCATCTCTGCCACTTGCCAGCTACGCCTCGGCCGGCACAGGGGGCGGAACCACGCATGCGCGGCGCTCCTGGGCAGGGAAAGTCTCAACTTACGACCGGTTGGGTAGTCCTCGACTTATGACCGGTTTAGTCCTCGACTTACGACCGGTTTAGTCCTCGACTTATGACCGGTTGGGGTCGCGGCATTAAAAAGGTTGAGAACCACTGATTTAAGGAATACTTTATTCACCTTCTTAATACTCTGAAACTTTTTTCTTTCTTTTACAGACCCATGAGTGGAATAAGAATGATGACCGACTCCTCCAAGCTGTGGATAATGCAGATCTGGAGAAAGTGGCTTCCCTTTTGGGCAAAAGGGGGGCCAGCGCAACCAAACATGACAGTGAGGGCAAGACTGCGTAAGTTGCCTTCACCTTCTCAGTTGGATAACAAGGGGAGGGATATTTGGTTGAACCAGACCTCCAGATTCTCCACTGTGCTGCTATAAATGTTTATGACAAAATTGATGAAAATTGGCTAGTTTCATTTCCCATCACTTTGCAACTTGAAATATAAGGAGAAATAGTCATAGAACAATTAAAAACGGCAACTGCAACCAAAAAAAGAGATCCCTGCTGGTGAGGAAAAGTTTGTGTAGGGGAGGGGAGATGAAAATCTTGGAATCAGAAGTTGGAATTAGCGTCAACCCCTTTGGGCCATGATGCATCTGTGCTATGATGCATCTGCTACAGTCCTTAACTCTCCCCCTAATTGCATTAGAGGACTTGGCCATCAAAAGATGACCCACTTATAGTTGAACAGATTGTTTATATTTACGAATGAAGGCAAACATACATGTCCCAGGATAATGATGCAGGATCCAATCTGGGTCAGCCACCGGGACCAGACATTTAGTCTCCTGAGCTTTCGGACTCATGCTAGACACCATCCTCAGGGAACTTCTCTGGTGAAAAAGAAGTTCTCTGAGGATGGGCTCCAGGATGAGTCCCTGAGCTCAGAAGACTAAATGACTCTGATTCCAGTGATCGACTCAGATTGGATCCCGTTTATATTTAGCTTGAGTTTCTGGTTGCCCAAACTATACAGATCCTCCTCATATTGGATTCTGTAACAATAGCTTGCAAAGTGAAAAAGAGTATCGTTGAAAGAACAAATGAGACACATGTTTTCAAATGAGATGAGATGATCTTCTGCCATTTTATGCTCCTTCCCCACCTCCAGGGTATTTTCCAAGATTACTTTTTTCCTTATTTATCCAATAACACAGTGGAGCCACCAAGATAAGTAGCTAGAGCAGTGTTTCTCAACCTTTGACAACTTTAAGATATGTGGAGCTCATATCCGCATACCTAGCATGGTTGGGGCTGGGGAATTCTGGAAGTTGAAGTCCATTCATCTTAAAGTTGCTAAGATTGAGAAACACTGAGCTAGGGAGATATCGAGATGAAGGCTTGATGGATAGAAAGGGGAGCCTTCTTCCATTAGCATTTTCTCTTTATGCATTCAAACTAGGCTTATGCAAAAGTCCTAATTTAGTAGACATAAGTGCAGAAACATAAATGATATGCCGCATGCATAGGAACACATGTAGCACCTGATGGGAACATCTTCAATAGATGTATTTATTCCACAGCTCCCTCTGCAGCTGACACATAGGCCTAGGAAAATATATTTTCAGCATGTATTTTCCAAATCATGTTTTCCCTTCAGATCTGGTGCTTTGCACTGCCTTAATAAGTAGAGCCCACTCATTTTGCCCTGAGACTAATTCACTTTTGGATATGTGTAGGATGTGGAATGTGTCATTCTGTCTGTATTGAATAACATTAAAATTAATTTTGCTCTTTTTAAAAAATGAACTTGTGTCAATCTGGAGCTTCATCCTCATCATCCTGATAGCTGTCTGTGTTCCAGTTTGAATTCTGATAGCTCGTGCAGAGTGTGTTGTGTTTTTCTTCCTTCTTTCTTTAAAGACAAAAATAATACAAATAGTTCCAATACTGAAAGCTACAGAAAGAATTGATTTCACTGGGCACTTCAAAAATAGCTTACAGTTTCAAGTCCCTTGATAAAAGAAAAGCCCTCTGAATTATATGAGTGAGTTGGAAAGAAGGAAGCAGCCAAGACGAGATGACTCTGGGCAATTTATGGCAAAGTCTGAAGCTGAAAACAGCGAGCGTGCTCTCTTTGTTTACAGAACCATGTTCTTGGCTAATTCTCACTTGCTCTGGATTTGCTTTTGCTGTGTCCAGTTTCTGTTTGGGTGAAGAAATGAAATTACGTCTTTGAGTGACCTGAACTTGAAAGCTCTAATGTAGCTTCAAATTTCCCAAATAAGGCTTCCTCCACATCATAAAATGGCACTACAGGACCTACTTATCCTTTTATTATGTTTCAGAGGAGAGAAAATAGGAAATGGATTGAGTGTCTGTAATAGCCGGAGTGGGACAATTTGCCATGGCCAACTAGCCACGGTCAATTTGCTGCAGGACAATTCAATAGTTCAATTTAATTATTCAAAACAATTTAAAAATTATTTTAATTTTTGTCATTCCCACTTCATTTTTTTTTTCCAAGTATAAATTTTTATTATTTTCATCATAAAAAAAAAAACACATCACAAATACATCACAATGCTATAATAAAAAACCCCACCCCCCACCCCCGGACTTCCCAAACCTAATCCCAGGATACTATTCAAATAAAAGTAAACTACTATTAATATCCCTAACTCCACAAAATATTATTCTACATAAGTAGGTGAAATATGTAAAAAAAGAAGCAAGTTATCTAAAAGCCTAAGTTATATTCCACCATTCTATGCTTTTTTTGAATATAAACAATCCATCTTCTCCATATTGATAAAAATTGTTCATTTGAATGATTCTTCAAATAAGCCGAAATTTTTGCCATTTCAGCAAGATACGAAACCTTCAATCTCCAGTCCTCCATTGTAGGTAGAACTTTACTCTTCCAATTTT